CTTTCATTTTTTTTCTGATTTGCAATAAAATAAAAATTCAGAATCAACTGCAAAATGCTCATATTTTGCCCTGAACAGTTGAAAACAGTCCTTTTCTTACTACTTGTTACAGTCATTCCATCTTTCAATGCAGTAGTATCATTAAAAGTTCAAAATTCACTGTTTAAATTTTGAACCAGCCTGGTGTGTTGACTTCATGGCTCCTATCGTACCATTTTGGGCCATAATAGGATGCCTAGTACTGTTTTTATTTTTATTTTTTTTCGCCCGCCCGCCCGCTCCATTATTTTTCCAGAAAAATCTGTTAACCAAGAAATTAAATTGGTGTGGCCTAAGGACTTAAAGTGACATGATACATCCATAAGTCAGCCAACAATTCCTGACCACTAATGATAAGTTATGGTCATGCAAGTGCTATCTCACATCATCATGTCCATTTTGTTTTTCATGAATGAAAGACTCCAGCCTGAGAAAAATGGCTGTGCCCTGATTATTAGCAACACCCAATTCACAACATCAGTGAGGAGTGAAAGGACTGGTGCTGAAAGAGACCCCCGTAAGTACATGTACAAGAGAATACATGAATGTTGCTATCTAACAGCAGGGCGTAAACTTAAATTTCCACTTGCAACATGCAATTGACAAATTTCAAAATGTATATACAGGTAAAAGTGTATGTGTGAACTACAGTGTATAATAAAACCATGAATGTTTCCCACTCTAGAACAACTGAAAGAAGCTTTCCAAAGCCTACCAGTCAAAATTGATGTGAAAGCCCACCAGAACCTTAATCTGTCCACCATGCTGAACGTCCTCCGAGACGAGGCCAACAGAGACCATAAGGAAGAAGACTTCTTCATTTGCTGCATTATGACCCATGGCACACAGGGCAAGGTGTTTGCCACTGATGGCTTTAGTGCTGAACTTCTTGATATTCTTTCCCTCTTTAAAGGAAAGCAATGCCCTACTCTTATGGGTAAACCCAAGCTGTTCTTTATCAGTGCATGTCAGGGGGATAAGGACCAAACTTCAGAAAAAGGAGGAGCTCATACTGATGCATCACCCTCACCCATTCTGGCATACCTATCCACAGAGGCTGATTTCTTTCTAGCTCTAGCCACAGTGCCGGGGTATGTGGCATACAGGGGGGAGGATGGGGCTCACTTTGTCAATGTTCTGGCAGAAGTGTTGAAGGAATATGGAAAATCCCAAGACCTAATGAGTATGATGACTACAGTCAGTAGGGAGATGAACAAGAAATTCAAGTACAGTCCCTTCTGTTGTACAACACTCAGGCACAAGCTGTTCTTCGATGATTATCCCTATCCAGTGACACGCATTAGGAGCCCTTGCTCATCAACCCTGCCTCCGACCATCGAGACACCAAACGATGGGTGTAGGCAACAACCGTATTGGACAAGCGTATAGGCCACAACCACCTATCCAGGATGTCAGACCCATATGCCTATATGCACATCATGTACAATCATATACATCATGTAACATCTCTGGCAGGAGGATACTGTAAATGTCAAGTGTCCATCCTCATGCCATCCATCCCAAGTTGGCATGGCCAGTTTGTAGCTAAGGTAATGGACCATTCCTGATCAAACACATCAAAATAATCCCCCGGCATGTTCTATTTCGAACACGTCCGTCAAAGTCCGCCCGCCAGAATGTCGGTTTTGCCGCCCAACGTTATGGTCGAGTTTTCGGCAGCGAAAAACTCTATCAGTAGCCAAAAAGAAGTGGTACGCTATCTTTGTTAAAGTATACATCCACAGAGTAAAACGTCTTTGAGAAGGGGACATTGTTAGTTTTAATAAGAGGAAAATGTTTGCACTCGATGGGGACGCGGGATGCGCCGCATAACATCAAATGGTAGACAGATAAGAGTGCCTGAATTTGCTGACAGGTGACAGGTTTTCCACATCCGTGACAGGTTTTCCACAGCATTTGCTGCATGTTTGCAGCAACATGCAAGCCAGGAACAAAAAGAAATGAGATAAAAGCAGCTCGGGTGCTCACAAGGGAGGGCGCAACTTATAAAGGGCTTTGTGATACAAGTAGAAACATAAGCAGGCAAACTAAAGTTCACTTTCAATTAGAAGTAAAGTAGCGTCATTAAATTTGACCAAAACAACTTTCCTTCATCAGAGTAAATGCACAAAGTACTGTAATATGATTGTAATGAAATCATAGCACTCAATTTTAGCAGTACAATGATCTAGTGAGTCAGGACTGTATAAAGTAAAATTTGGCCTAATGACGAATGTATGTGAGTAAAAGTTTTGTATGCAATCCATGAGATATAGACAAAGAAATGGATTTCTCAAATTAAGACAAGTCTGGAGCTTTGAAAACTGTTACTGTCAGTACTATCTATAGTCTGGTATAAGTACTACATCTACATGACTGTACAGTATGCAATGCTACTGTGTAACATTGTTCCCATCATTTCAATGAGGACCTACATGCTTTTGGATTTTGTAAATTACTACTAAATTAGCAATATGTGTTTGGTTTTTAGCTGTTACTAACTCATACAAGGTTGTTGTTTGCTTTTGTGTACATATAATGTTCATCAATAATAAATAAAAGACAATAGTTCCGAGACCTCATACCTCCATGAAATATGGGCTTGATATGTAAATGTAAATTTCTTCTTAAAGGTGCCCTAAGCAGTTTCAGTGCTCAAAATATGGAATTTTTAAGAATGCTGAAATATTTATGTTACTGACATTTACTAACACTGTTTAGCACATTTACGTGCTAAATTCATATTATGCGTGTTTTAAAACTGCGCAAAACCGAGCAGCACGATCATACCCTTAGTTACTCTAGCCTAGAGTAAGTAAGGCTGAAATCACGGAATCCAACCGTTTCCTGTCGGCAATTTTCTGGAACTTCCGCGAAAAATGGAACGCGCTGCCTTGGTTCCACGGATCGAACGCAGGAGTTCGAAACCGATTGACTTCAAATTTTACGATTTTTGAATGGTCAGAACCTTGTGTTAAATTCCTCTTTTTGTATATACTTGAATGTTATCATATCACTTATTATATTGCATGTGGTAGCCACATTCATACAGTTTCTCATACCAAGAAACGAATTCTATAACATTCGTGAAATGTTTCAAAATGTAGCGGAAACTCAGGATGGTGTGTGTCATTAGCTTAAAACTGGGCTAAAATTTGACCACCGCGATGTGCGCATCGTCATAGTTTTTTGGGGGGCAAACCCGTTTGTCCTAAAATTTACCGGGGGTCTTTGGTATCAATGTAAGGGCGAAGAAGTGGGCTATCACACTGTGGTATTAACTAATGGGATCCAGTCGAACAGCCAAAAAGACAAGCACAAATAAACTGACCAAAAATTGCTAATGTTTCGAAGGCCGTAGCGCTCGCTGTCATTTTGCAATGCACAAAATATCTACATGGTTGTACACGGCAAATCCTGCAGATATGTTAAAGTATAAACATTATGTAGGTCTGAGGTATTTTTGTTACAATATAGGCAGTGGCTTACACCCTTGCAACTGGGTCAAATCGTGACTCGGCAAATGCCGTATCTTAGAGAATAACGCGTTCTACGGTGACCTGCGGTTCGACTGATTCGGCGCGTTCGGAAAGGTCGCGGTAAACCACGTGACTCGTCCTCGGCTCTGGTCGGACGAAGTCGGAAGTGTTTGCGAGCGTTTGGAAATTTAAAAAATGGCCGACACCACTGCCGGCGGCGGGAGGCACGTAGTTTTTCACGGCGTTTGTACGGCAAAGCGGCATCGAATTTTTGCTCCGTGACTATCGGTATGGGATAGGATAGGGTTGATTCAACATACTACGTGAAAATGTGACAAAAAGACAGACTTTTGAAATTGAATGCTCCCAGCCTACTATCGGCCAGATATCGCTTAGGGCACCTTTAATTATGCAAATGACCTCTGCATTAACATGATATATGAAACACAAACACACACCCAGACAGACAGACAGACACACACACACACACACACAGACAGACATGCCAAAAACAATACCTCCTTTTTTCATGGAGGTAATAAAAACAGGCCCAAAATGGTACAATAGGAGCCATGAAGCGAACACACCAGGCTGGTTCAAAATTTAAATGATGAATTTTGAACTTTTAATGATACCAATTGCATTGAAAGATGGAATATTATGTAACAACTACAAAATGTACAATGAAGAAAAGGACTGTTGTCAACTGTTCAGGGCAAAATATGAGCATTTTGCAGTTGATTCTGATTTTTACCTCCATGAAAAATGGAGGTATTGTTTTCGGCGTGTCTGTCTGTGTGTCTGTGTGTGTCTGTCTGTCTGTGTTTCGGCAACTTTGTGGTCAGCATAACTTCAGAACGCCTTTATGGATTGCGATGATATTTGGTATGCTGGTAAGTCTTGGAAAGACAAAGGTCAAGGTCAAATATGGACCTCCTGGTGGATGACCTTGGTACTGCAGCAGAACTTCCGGTTTTGTAAAAGTGGGGTTCAAGCGCCACCAACTGGCCAATCTAACTGGTCCAAACCTATTACTTGGCCTTTAGGATAGAGTGTTGGGTTTGTAAGCTGGCGGCCCCGGGTCGGCGTGGGTTTGAATCCCGGGAGCCAGCAGACTATACTACCTTAATTAGGCCTGTGAGTAAAACAGGGATATTGAACTCAGAAATTTGACTGCAAATCTAAACAAGAAAAGGGGGAATAGTGTAACAGTGGGGTTCAAACACCACCAACTGACCAGTCCAACTGGTCCAGACCTTTTAGCCTTGTGGTTAGTGTGTTGGGTGGGTGATAAGCTGATGATCAGCATGCCCAAATTGATCTGTGTCAAAACAAGGACAAGCAAGCTGGTACAGTAATTAAATTAAACCTATTCTGTATTCCTGCCACCCAATCAAGAAATCCTGAATTATGGTTCCGGGTCGGAGTTTAATTCTGACCAGAGTCTAAGTAAGTGCGCAGTAAATCGCCGGAAACGTGACTTTGTATGGTATGTTTTGGCCGCGATATCCCTGAAATCGTAATATCTGTGTACATATCTTTGTATTTTCTGAAAAGCCTGTTAGTTGTAGCCTTTATAGGTGGCGTAATGTTGGTGGTCCAGCTAAGACTTCCTGGTATTCGTCCGCGCGGATGGTTATGTGGCCTTTTCGCCTGACCGCCGGGATGGTACGTTCTATATGCGTTCTGGGTGTGTTCGGGCCATCGAAGATAGCGATAAACTTATCGCATCGATTTTAATTAAATTCAAATTTTGGAAACATTAGGTTCTGAGCTTCTTCGAGTACTAAGCCGTTACCCTGGGAAAATTCGTTTTTTCCATGCAGCCATGGTTAAAAATGACGAAAAAAATGACCCCTTTTTTCAAAATGTACTTTGATGTGCCTCATTTACCCCTAAATAAATTGGGCGCAGAAAATATCAATCAAGTGTATTGATAAGCGGCACGGCACCCCTTTCCACCAAAAGAGTGAAAATTCCGACCCGCGTTTAGTACAGAAATGACAGCCCGTCGGGCTGAGGGTGTCAAATTGCTCGAAATACGGAGGGAAACTCCGGTCCGAGACCTTATAATAGGTGAAACAAAGTACCGTGGTGCTGTATATAATATAATTTACACATGCAGTGTTTAGAATAATTTACAACAATACTGGCACAGTAGACCTACATGTACATCACCTTGTGGATGCATGTTACAAACCTGTCCAGCAGAACTTTCCAAAACTGTCCATTGTTGATGCTGATGGTGGTGGGTGCTGTAATCTCTGTAATACCACTCCCTAGATTGAACCTGCCGAGAATATCATGAAATCAATATTTTAGTATCATTATACTAGTACTAAAACTACTAAGTGTTGTCTGTCCTCGGGGCTGAGACAGTTATTAATTAACAGTTATACCCTGTATGCTGTAGCAGCCAATTCAAATTTTAGTCTTTATTGCAGATTTCAAATTCAGACACAAATCGAATAACAATTGAATGAAAGGGCCATATATTGTATATGTAGGACCAGAAAACAGGAAATTGATTGCCAAACCTGAACTCCAACTGACTCTGGTAGATCCCTAAAGACAGGAAGTCTCCCAAACCCTGCATATGATACAAACCTGACTTTTAGTGTACACATGTATCTAAGACCACAACCAATTTAATTTGTTGGTTCTCAGATTTTTTTCAGAATAAATATGAAGCGACAGGGCAAAAAAAACAGGTCTAGGAATCCTAATATAGCATGCGCAGTTAATAGCACTAAATGCTACGATGAAGTCAACACAAAAGGCTGGGTTACTATGTAAACAATGAATTTTGAACTTTAAATCAAACCACTGCATTGATAAAGTGCAAACCTGTAACAGCCAGGAAGAAAAGGACTTTCCTCCTTTTGGGGGCAAAACATGAGCAGTTTTAGTTGATTCAGAATCTTTTTTTTTTTTTTGCAAATAAAAAAAAATGAAGAGACGAATCCGAGAACCAACAAATTAAATTGGTGTGGCCTAATAAGTACACACTACACAATCAATGCATAAAATGTATATTTGCACACGTACTAACATTACATTAAACTGTAACATTTGGCAAATGTAACTGTTACAGTTATATGTACAATTCATATTAGTACAATGTACATCCATTATATATTGTACACATTAGCCTTGAGCATGATAACAGCTCCTTGCAATACATCATCATCATCATCTTGTCGTGAGTTACATGAATGTTCATGACTCAATACATCTACACAATTACATGTAATTCATACTTTATTTATCTTATGTGGCATATACAGTTGTATTATAGGTGTAATATATGCTAAGTTATAGGTAGACCGAACCTGTGGGTCTCCCAACCAGACCAGCAGACAGTTCTCCTGTGTTGTCCTCACCACCAGGGCAAGTCTAGTCTGTAAACTGGATCTGTATTGAGGCAGTGACAAGAAACTGCATTGAGTGGTACTGGTATATGGCATATATACTCACTCACTCACTCACTATCCTGGTTTAGATTTTACTGCTGCCGGTTTCCCTGTCCCAGGGGTGGGCAGCAGTCGGCTGTTCTGCACACCTCGTCTCCAGCTAGCTCTGTCCTGTGGGTCTGTGCTAGACAGACCACACTCCTTTATATCCTTCCGCATGCACTCTAACCAAGTTTTTCTCGGCCTGCCACGGCCTCTGTTGCCTGGCAACTGCAAGTCCGCGATGGTATTGATGCAGCCACATGCTCTTTTAACGTGCCCGTACCATCGGAGGCGGCGTGATCTCAGTACTGAGGATCTGAGTACTCAATTGTATTGAGTACTCAGTACTGAGTACTCAATACAATGTCAGAAATAGATTTTGGTTGTCTTACATAATCCAATGAGGCTTAGACACTATAATTATAGTTATATTATTGTTGTTATTATTATTGATCCAAAACAAACATGAAATCCGACCCTATCACATTAACGCAAACGGTAACGCGTTAGAAATAATTTCTGAGGATTTTCTAACGATCTTCTGACGAAAATCTAACCAAATACTGACGAAAATCTAACCAAATACTAACGAAAATCTAACTCGTTAGTAACGGGGTACCCGGTTAACTATAACGCGAACGGTACTGTAATTACACAAGACTTTTAATTACTGATATGTGACGCAAGCAATCGATCAAAACGATATAAACTCCCTGGCACTTTTGATCAATTGCTTACGTCACATATCAGTAAAGTCTTGTGTGATTAAGGTCACGTGTTTGTAAATCGTAACTCTCGCGAGATCACGTTGTGAAGTGAATATTGGTCATTAATTATCCTGATGAAGGCGACAGTGGTCGCTGAAAATTTGATCTCTTTGTAAACTGTGTGTTGGAATTAAGTCCAATGTTTTTACTATGATTACTACCAACACAGATGAACTTTCATGATAATCTGAGTTACTAAAAACTATATAAAATAAATCCGTAAATAATTTCATCAGGTTGGTAAACGACTGAATAGCAAAGTTCTTTTTATCACAACCATTTATTTTCCAAGCCGACATTTCGATGACCTTCTGTCATCTTCATCAGGGCAATTGCCTTGAATATACATTCCCTGATTGCCCTGATGAAGATGACAGAAGGTCATCGAAACGTCGGCTTGAAAAAGAAATGGTTGTGCTAAAAAGAACTTTGCTATTTATATAGAATAAAGCAGCTGTGAAATGCAGTGAGTCTGTCTGGATGTCCTGACACTGTAGACTTACACAGCTGGCAGGTGCTGGGGGTATTGCAGGTAACTTTGTCCGTGGAACTGTGCAAGGGAGAAGGAAAGGTCTGAAACACATCCAACAGTAACATACATTGTAGGTCAGAATATAAGAAACTGTTCATCATTGTCATGTCATTGTTTTATATGGGAGGAACAACTACATGTAGGTACAGTGCACAAGGAAGCCTAATCTGGCAACAGCTAAAATGGTGCCACTAAATATACACGTATGTAGTATGTATACATTGTACATGTATTGCACATGCACACTTCCCATGAACACAAATCAAAGTATTGACCTGTTTTTCACTTCCCACACTGGCTTCTGTGTTGATCTCAAGGAAGCCAGTCCTCAAGATTTCACCTGGACTGAACTAAGGCCACACTGATATACAGGAAATATTTATGGATGACATCCTCTGAAGATCCATCCCAAAACTAAAGTGGGTGAATAAAAAAAGTCGAGCCAAAAAAATGCTACTAAATCACAGGAATGCAAAGCTGGTATTGTTATTAATTAGCCGTTGTACATGTACATGACTTCTTTTACAACAAACTGGCACATGCTGGATTTTGCTGCATTATTGAGTCGGCACTGGTGCACAGTATAGTTCTGTGGAGCCTCGGCAGCCTGGGTGCCATCCTCCATAGTAACTACCAGCTCCCTACTGTTGGTAGCCACAATGGATTACGGAGAACTACTGTTGGTAGCCACAATGGATTACGGAGGATGGCACCCAGGCTTCAGAACAGGCAAAAATCAATGAACACATGATGTCATCCATAAAACTAAATCAGTGTGGCCTAGCCATTTCATATTCAAGTTCCAACTGATGATTGTACATGTACCTTGGGAACAGTTGTTTCCTGTGTACATATGTGTACATAAACATGTGGCCTGGCCATCGTCATTCAGCAGGCAGCGTCCATCATGTAGGCATCTGTTATCATCACAGACACTGATGTTACAATTGTCTCCTGTGAATACAATAAAATAATCAGGTGGCCATGCAGTTATCATATTTCACTCCATATGCAACAGGTATAGATGAAATATTAACGTTACCTTCACAGAAGTAAACAATAACTAGTACACACATGTACCAAATTTTAGTACAATCCATTCATAGCTTCTTGAGTTGTGTAGCACGAAGAGTCTGTTAGCACTTAGTCTACCAAAAATATTATTAACCATCTTGGCAAATGTAACAAACAAGTCATTGTACGTCAGAAAAATCCAGTCCTACAATGCTACATATTGTACATATGATATAGAATACAACACAGGGTATTCCATATCGCCCGAGGTACCAGCCCGACCGCGCGTCGGATCGCCCGAAGGCCGGAGGGAGATCCAATCCGCGGGAGGGCTGGGACCAAGGGTGATGCGGAATACACCGTGTTGTATTTTATTTATCTCATACCCACCCATGAAAACACGCCTTTCGATGCGAAATGAGAAAAAATTTGGTGTCCCTAAACCAAAAGTGCAACAACATCAATTCCAACGTCTGAATTTTGCATTCGACTTTTCGAAAGCGTTGCACGCAGTTAGGGCGAAATGCATTCAAATCATTCTCTGGAACATTTGGAAGCCCCGGGCCATATGCATTCAGAACCCCTGGGCCGTCCACTAGTTATCACACGGGCCGGAACACCTGTATCGAATGTTATCGCAGCCCAGGTATGACATAAAGTGATGTACATGTACATGTAGGTCCTGGCCCTGGTAGTGTACCTGTATATCCTGGCACACAGTGACACTGGTACTCGGGCTGCCTGGTGCTGTTATTGAGACTCACACAGGTTCCATTCCCACAGGGTTCACCAGTACAGGCATCTCTTAACTCACAATGGACTCCAAAGTACTGAAAAGGTACAGATTGTCACACACATTTTCTTTGAGCTATGTAATCGTACGCGATTTGTAGACATTCGCACAGTGAGTTTCGTCATCCTAGGGGATGAAAGTCGCAGGCTGCAAGTTTCTTCACCTAAGAGCGAGGGCATGCGAACTACACTATTTGTGCAAATATCGTTGACCTTACACTGGGCCGTGCACATGTAACTACATGTACTAGTATTTCATGTGAAATCATCGACCTTTCGCTGGGCCTTGCACACATCCCACACATTTCAGACTTACCCGGGGTCGCGCACGGCTCTGTACCTACCAGTCGGGCCGGAACTTCGACAGACATTTACCGAATCGGATGTTATGTTCACTTGCACTCCATCAGCGATACTAGATTTGTACATATACATCAGCTTATTATAGAAAAGATTGCAAATTGATACAGTTTAACTCAATGTTCTCACGTGGGCCGAATGTTGGATACAGGTGGTCAATGGATACAGGTGGCCAACATAAAGTCCCCTTGCAATTGCCCCACCGAATCTGCTTGGAGATTAGCCCACGATATTTGCATGACTGTATAGGGTTACCTAAGAACGTGTAACGGCCCAGCGTAAGGTTGATGATATTCGATCACACGAAATATTTACATGTGCGTGGCCCAGCGTAAGATCGACGATATTCGCACAAATAGTGTAGTCCGCACGCCATCGCTCTTAGGTGAAGAAACTCGCAGCCTGCGACTTTCCTCCCCTAGGACAATGAAAGTGGCTGTGGGAATCTCTGCAAATCGCATGCGATTAAATACATGTACCTGTTTCTTTGTACCAAATTGTGTACTATGGTGTCATAAAGTCATAATATGGACATTAAGTCATTCAGTGCTCACAGCTGATGTTCCAGTTCTCTGCAAAATTCAACACTATTTTTCTTAACACCTACATTGTAAGGTTGGGACTCCCCTTGGCCTCAGATTGATAACAATTGATAAAACAATTGTCATCCATTGATAACAAAAGATATGATGATAATCAATTAATAACATATGTTAACAAATAGTAATAAAATCAATTTTTTTCTTAATAAGGCCACACCAATTCAATTTGTTGTTTCTCGGATTCACCTGTCCATTTCTTTCTGATTTGCAAAAAAAAAAAAAAAAAAAAACCAGCCTGGTATGTTGACTTCATGGCTAATATCACAACATTTCTGGCCATCATGGGGTGCCTTGGCCTGTTTTTTTTTTTTTTCACCCTGTCACTTCAGATTTTTTCTGAAAAAATCTGAGAAACAACAAATAAAATTGGTGTGGCCTAATCAGTCCCATCATGTACAGTGTCAGGAACATGACAGTCATGATTCAGCCAGGTGCCGAGACCTTTCCAATAAACCAGCCACAGTGTAGAAACCTTCAGCTAGCTGTTAATATCATAACACTTCAGAGAGATTTAAACTAGGTTTGAGGTGTCAGCTGATGAAGGTTACCTGTGGTGGACACAGACAGGAGTACAGTAGGAGACTGTCTGGACTGGTGAGCAGCGAGCACGTCCCACTGTTCTCACAGGGGTGGTCAGCACAGGGGTCCACCTGCTCACATTCCTCACCATAATAACCAGATGGACATTCACACCTGCATGTAAATATATACCCATGTAACCATGGTGACATCAGGAAAAGTATGTCTAGTTTGGGCACCATAGAGCTCGGGTAGCGCAAATATGTGTGAAGTAGTGAAGTTGCATTATATATATATATATACAGTCACAGTGTATCAGTATTAGAAAAGCATTATTCTACATCTGGTTCCACTTGCTTTGTAGTTCAAGATATATATTAGTGGATTGGTGATAAGAGGGGATGTGCGGAAGCTGCTGGGATTCCTTGGGTACTACCGGACATACATTAAGAACTTCAGTCAGATTGCCAAGCCCCTGTATGATTTGCTGTCAAATCATGCCCCAAAACAACCAATCAAGTGGACAGAAGAACACCAGAGAATACTCTGCCAACTCACGGAACAGCTGACTAGCCCACCAGTGATGGCATACCCAGATTTCGAGCGACCCTTTGTACTGCACACTGATGCATCAGCTCAGGGTCTCGGTGCTGTATTGTACCAGCAAAGTGAAGGGAAGCTGCGGGTAATAGCCTATGGATCGAGGACCCTGACTCAGGCGGAGAAGAACTACCACCTCCATTCAGGGAAGCTCGAGTTTCTCGCCTTGAAGTGGGCTGTCACTGAAAAGTTCCGGGACTATCTGTACTACGCACCATCGTTCGAAGTGTATACCGACAATAACCCCCTCACCTACGTTCTGAGTACGGCCAAGTTGAATGCGACAGGTCACCGATGGGTGGCAGAGTTGGCGGACTATAACTTCAGCATCAAGTACCGACCTGGGAAAGCCAATGCAGACGCAGATGTGCTGTCAAGAGTACCACGTCCAAGTCCAGGAGATGCTGAGCGGTTTATGGCTACCTGCACAGAAGAAGTGAGTGGTGATGTACTGAGTGCCACCACCCAGGCCATGCAGGCGGTTGATCAAGGAGATGCCACATGGATAAGTGCTATCACTACGAACATTGACAGTCTACCACCTGAAGAT